AATAGAGCTCTTTGATCATGTAGGTGAATTGGCAGTCCTTCAAGACTCAACCAAATCGGGACCACCGGTGATTCCACATTGGGTTGGAATTTCGGAGTCCATTTGGTCACACGCATCTCATTACCAAATATATCCCAAACCTGCCTATTCCAACATCTTAAGTAATCATCATCTAATTCAAATCTGATCAACACATGCTTTTTTCTCCAAGATACCGAGATCAAATTTTCCTTTAAAACCAATCAGCTCAAAAGCTTTTCTAAGAGTAGGCATAGCCGGCCTACCTTTAAAAAAATATCCAATCAAAGCCTTTGTATGTTTAGCCGAGAGAATTTGCACATCTGCATCTGGGAATACAACCGATGGATATCCTTTGAAACTCGTTGGCTGTTTCTTCGATAAAGGAATATCAACTTTCTCCCCAGCAACCACGGCAGCAAATGATCTTCCACCCCATCCATTGACAGTTGGAGGAGGGTCTGCCCCCTCCGATTTGGACTCCGACATGCACAGGATCGCACAAGATCGCCCCCTTCTCAAAAACCCTCGTCAGTTATAAATACACACCCAGTCTTGGAACAGGACACCGCTCTACAATTAGTGACTGTCTCATCATGTGGAGCTTGCAACAATTGCGCAAATTTCTTTATGCATACATAATGCATAATTAGACAACTATCAAGCATAATGCTCGGGCCTAAATTTTTTTAGCTTGTTTCCCCTATACTTCATGCTCCAGTTTGCATGTATGTTCTTGGAAAACTTTCTATGCTTGAAATTAGGAAAAGTACCTTGATCATCTTCACCAAAACTTGCACAGAAACACACAATTTAATGCTTAAACCGGCAATTTCAAATTGAACTTTAACTTTAAACCAGGTTGTTTCAGCTTTAAACTTTGAAGTTCAAGTTTAAAGTTTCTCGTACTTTCAGTTTCTGTTTAAACTTAAACCTTAAATTTAGATTGTTAGGTTAAAATTTAAGTTTTAGTTTGGTAGCTACTTCAAGTAACTTGAACTTTGAATTTTAAACTTTATATTTAAACTTTCAGCTAGTTTGAAGTCAGAGAAGTGAAATTAAAACTTCAGTATTATGAAATATTAAGCTCTGGAGTTAATTGAACATAAACTTCACTTTTAAATCAGCTAGTTTGAACTTTAAATTTAAACCAAGTAGTTTGAACTTTTAATTTTCAAGTTCAAGTTAAAACACTCCTGCGTTTCAGCTAGTTTAAACTTTGAAAACTGAAACTGAAATATTTCAGTATTTTTCAAGGTAAATTTATACTTTAACATAAACTTTAAACTTAACCTTACACTTGTACTTAAAGTTTAAGGACCCGTTTGGAAAACGGCAGGTTCTTCAATCCACTACTTTTTTTATACATGAAACCGCTGCATTTAAGAACATGGAGGAGACGGTGGAACATGCATAAGCGATTGTGCGAGAAGGTCAAGGAAGTTTGAACAACTACTGGGAGGAGTTTTGGAGAGACAACAGTCAACATGAACCTTCAAGGAGTGGTTAACAATTACATTCAGGCTCCGTTTGGTTTACGGAACGTCAAATTACTTTGAAAATGTTAGATTGTTGGGTATGTTAGATTGATGAGAATGTACTCAATTGTATCACATTTGTGTTTGGTTGAGACTAAGGGAATATCAAATTGATTTGTTCGGTTGAATGATATCTTATACTACATATTTGATGATATTCTCTTAGCACAATAAGTTTATTACAACTTGCATTTAAACTAACTTAAATTAAAGAAAAGAATGAAATAATATATCTTAACAATAAAAAAATCAAAACTAAATGAAAGATGATTAATTGTACAAATGACAAAGATACATTGTACTCAAAGAGAAAGATAATTGAACATTAAAAAATAATTTTGTTTAAATAAATACATAATGATATACATAAATAAATGTGAATATATCATTACCAAAACTGTTGTATAAAAAGAACAAATCAATGTTGCTCTACTTAATATTGCTAAACTCTCTTTTTAAATTAGCAAAAGAGTGAACTAAATTCTTAAAAACAATAAGCACAATAATAAGAAAAGCATATTTAAATCTTCTTGTGATTCAAATATGATATGTTCTTGTCTAATCTGACCTAGTGTATTTGATACATTTTTCTCATAGGTGTAGATTTTAAAAACTACTTTTTTTGTATAAACTCTCCCCTATTTAATAATTTTAATTATGTACATGACTTGTATGATCTGTACCACTAATCCTAATCCAATCATATGTGAAAAATAATAATTTAAACAAAGGTTATCAAGTTACGTTAATTAATACTACGTAGAACAGTTATACGTAGTATATGATAGCAAAAAACGTCATTCATTTATATATAACTAAACAAAAAGAAAAAGAAATAAACCGATAACATAAGAAGCAACAATGTTAAGACGGATTACAAGACAAAATAGTCCAACTATCACCGAAATAAGGTGTACAGAGGGTGCGCGGAGAAGCTCCTTATTTGAAAGAGGAAGATTTGTGCCTTAGCTTTAATAAAATATACTACGTACCAAGATAGGACCTAAAAGATGACTTTACTATCAATTCCAATACTATGTACGTTTTTTTTGTTATAATCATAACAGCAATAATAATATTAATACGGAGTAATAATAGTACTACGTATATACTTCGTACAATTCGAGAAAGACCGATAAAGAATGTTTCTCGAGGGATGTAAAACAAATTTTACATTTTTACCTAAAAAATGGTTTAGGCAATTGTAGGGATTACGTGAAATAAAAATTTACTAATGACTTTAGAGCATCTCCAATGCTATAATGTGCACGGTGCACACGTGGCACGAGAGATGACCACATAAATATTAGTAAATAAATTCTTTCTCTCCTTATTTAAATGATTTTATACAGTTTTGGTAAGTTTTTCTCCACAATGTCAAGGAGACCGTCTAGAAGGAGACATTCCCAAAAAATATTCAAACCCATGAACCAAACGTGGACATCTCACATTCCGAGCATTAGATTCCGACCTGCATAGAAGATTACCCTCAACCAAATATACCACTTACAATTGATGCAAATTTATTACGCTTCTATGGAACTTATGGAAGCGTCGTAATAACCAGGTTTCGAAGGATGAATTGCAGGGGACCTCGGGGTAATAATACAGCAACTAGTATGTTGACAAGTTGGAGAGCTGCAAAAAAATGTAGCGGAAAAGCAGACAACTAGCGGGCATGGCATGGGACAACTAGCCGAGAGAGGGTTTTATATCAAAATAAATGTTTAACCAAGCATTCCAGCTCAGCTGGTTGTGAGGTACCGTACCTAGTGAGAGTAGGCCTGGACTCAGGCCGGGCGGCCCGACCCGGAACCGGCCCGGCCCGGCCACTGTTGCAACCGGCCCGGCCTGGTGGCCCGGTCCACCGGCGGTTCGGGTCGAACCGGCCCGGTGGTTCCCGGTTCCAGGCCCGGGCCTTCCATATGGTGAACCGGCCCGGCCAGTTCGGGTCCGGGCCGGATTTTAATTTTTTTTTTTGAAATTTTTTTTAAATCTTGGGTTGGAATAGGTATTTTGGGCCATTTGAGGTGGTTTGGGGTGGTTTGGGGTTGAGGGGGAGGGGTAGGGGATTAAATAGGAGAACAAAAAAAAAAAAAAAAATTGGGCCGGTTAGGCCCGGCCCGGCCCGGTTTGGCCCGGAATCGGCCACCGGCGGTTCGGGCCCGGGCCTCCCCTTTCCTGGCCCGAGGCCCGGCCGGGCCCAGGCCCGAACCGGCCCGAGTCCAGGTCTAAGTGAGAGGTCTCGAGTTCGAAACCCGCTATGCACATAAGGGGTTGAAACTTAATGGAGTGAGTTCAGCCCTGATTAACCCTGGCTCCCCCAGCCCCCTCCCCCAGATCCCTAGGAGTAAAAAAAATCAAAATACATGTTTATACAACCATTAATGACGCCAAAGGTATTAGAATTTGGAGTTGGATTGCAATAAACGATCAGGGTGAATTTATCAAAGCCTTCAACGAGTCATGTCACATGAACTGGACCCAGACGAAGATGAAACAATTGGAATTGAAGCGGTTGGAACACAACTATACAAGAGACTATTCTAGGAGCACAAAAGGAAGGATGGGAACAAGTTGAGGTCCAATCGAATTCCCTCACAGTGGTACACAAAATTAAAAAAGGAAAGGGAGCTTGTACCTTAATTTACTGATTGATGACATTAGACACCTTATTAAAACAAAGAGTAATTTTAGTATTTCTTTTTGTAAAAAATATGTGAATCGTGTAACTCATGTTATTGCAAGTAGGGGTGGACTGAGCCTGTACAGGGACGGGCTCCAAGTCGGGCTAATGTGGGCTGCGGATTGTATGTACACATTCAAACTCGGTACCGGCGGGGGTTAGAACCAGGACCGGGCCGGGTCAGGCAAAATTATTTTTATTTATTATCTTTTAGAATTTATTCGACCCCCCACCCCCCCCACCCACCTAAAACAAGCCCTACCCGAAAAGGTTAATAAATAAAAAATTATTTGGGCCCGACTGGCACAGTCCACCTATTTCTAAGCCCGTAACCCACTTCTGGTCCCTGTTGACCGATTCAAGTCAAGTCCCAACAACGTTAGGCCAACCCGACCCAGTCCACCCCTAATTGCTAGGGCGAATATGTCACTCTCAGATCATAGATGCCATTGTGACCATATGCCTGATTTCATTGTATGTGTCATTTGACAGACGATATAATTCGTTAATATGATGTGTTTGTTTTTTCCAAAACAAATATAGAGTTGAGGATATAATATTTCATATGTAAGTTTGGGATATTTGTGTCACTCTTACATAGTGGTATTTATTATTTCCTTACTAATTTTAACTAGGCTAGCCTATTAACTGTTACAAAATATTACTCCGTATTATTTTACTAAACTTACCAAATAAGTTTTACTAAACTTTCCAAAAACGGATGGTAATGCAAGAATAAATGAAGAGTGTGAATGTATCTTGTTATGATAATACTGTATCTGCTACTCATTATAAATCATAAAATACTCCGTAAATAATGATAAAATTCGAGCTGCATAAATTAAAAAAAATAACAGATAACCCTAAATATTAGCCTACTAAACAAACAAATATATCTGCTAATCAGTAAATCTTTAGCACATTTCAAAAAGTTACACATTTCTTTAAATTATTTAAGGCCTCATGAGGCCTTAAATAGTGAAAAGTTGCCACTGTCTACCTCCTGTTTAAGTAGTTTAGAAACTCCCATTCCAAAACTCTGCATTAAATAATAGAAAAGGAAACCAATGAATTGTGAAGAAAGGAAACAATACATTACTGTAAACAATTATTCGTGTTGTTAAATTTAAAATAAAATATGTTTTTCTTATGTCACTGTTTCTTCTGCTATCATTTCTCATTCAATTGTCACAAAAATGTTTGATACTTCCTATACCCTTTGATCAATATGTTGAAGACCAAATATACCCATCAACTTCCACTTGGAACAATTGAATAAAAAAAATGTAGATAGAACCTTTATACCCTTATACTATTGTATATCCTAATAGTTGAGGATAACATGTTCTCTAATACAAAGACCTCTTCCCATGCAAAGTAAGAATGAATCTTGTGCATTCATTTCCACATCTAATGGCTCAAAATGCGTCCAAAATGCACAAAATTCGACCAAATTCGCGGTGACAATTTCGTAAATATGTTTCACTTTTTCGCCATCGCAAAAAAGTGCAATAGAAACACGAAAAAGTGCGAGCGAAACATGCAAAAGTGCATATCTTCGCACTTTGCACGGGAAGAGGTCTTTTTATTTGAACTCTTCCCTATATATAGGAGAAAATAATTAAAATATCCCAAACTTTGAAGGGGTGTGGGGTAAGCACCCCAAACTTTCATATGTAATTTTTGAAAGAAATGATACATGATCATGATGTTAATACTTAATAGAACTATTTATATAAAGTTTGGGATATTTAAATTACATATGAAAGTTTGAGGTATTTATCTCACACCCCTTCAAAGTTTGGGGTATTTTAATTATTTTCCCCCTATATATACATACATATGTGTGTGTTCTCTCATATATGGTTCAAGGATATATTTATTCCAACTTTACAACTTCTGTGTTCAACTATTCGAAAAAGGAAAGTTGAATACTATATTTGTTCTGACATGTAGTTCAAAGTTATATTTGTTCGTTTTCCCTAAAGAAAACAAATATGTGTTGTATATTGTTGCTCCAATTCCAATTACACAATTTTCAATTTTGTTAAGCCAGCAAAACTTTATATAAGAATCTTTTATAAAGTAAAGTATAGTGATATACCTGTATGTTGTTGTTTGATGATACCGAAAAGAGCTTTTGCAAAACTTCATCTAAACCTGTGCCGTTGTTTATGGTATTTAGTTCTGAGGGCCACCAAAATAATTGCACTGTGATAGTAACCTGCAAACGTTTTTCCGAAAGTATGCCTTCAAATATATAGAGGTATGAGTGCTTTATGCTTAAGAGGAGACACAACATTGCTTGGCAGTTGGCAGTATGACACGCCCATGAGTCATGATCATCATTGACTAACAATGATTAACATATACAAGAAATAATTGCAACAATAAATCTTAATACTCAAAACCATACCATCAAATACTCATTCTGATCATCTGCATCATTCTCTTTTATTCCTATGTTGTCAGCAGAAGCTTGCCTTGCATTTTCAAACTTGGATCTTACTTCTTCAAATATCTGGTGGACTCTATTATTAGACAGTAGAAAATTTCTGTCAAGATGCGCCTAAAAATCAATGAAAAAATTAACATCAGATGCACATTTAGAGTGACAACCATGCTTAGCATGGAGTCTCAGTAAGTATCAAAAACTATATTCAACATTCTCAGCTAAATGTCATCCCTTTTGTTAAATGGAAAAACATTGACTCACTTGGTCAAACTCCTGCCAGGCTAGAAATAAGTAAACAGCATGCGCCAAATTTTGTCTCAAACACAACGTAGTATTAGTATGCAATAAGACCAGGATCCAATTGTAACTGCTAAATATGCTAGGTGACACTAGCAACCAAGCTCTAGTTGGAGTCTCAACTCTCAAGAGACCCCACACTTTCCATTATCTAATCAGAGCCCAATTTACGGACTCCCAGCTAAACTGGCATGTCGGTCCTAGGAGACATCATGGCCGGGGGGGCACATCCCTTCTTTTTTTACAAAAACATTCAAACCTTTTGCCCAAGAGTTAGGGAAATGCATCCATTTTAAAAGATGTCATGGCACACATTTATGATGCTGCCACGATACATTAAAACTAAGAATTATATATATGACCTAAATACAATATAGTAGCTTGACTTAACCACCAATAGAGGGGTTAATTAGCCCAAATAGTACCAAATACAATCCTAATGAAACCAACTTAATAACCATAACCAGGTCAGGTCTTGCAAAAAAGTGAATTTACAGCCTAAATGATGTAAAACAAAAATAAAAAACTAAAGTACTCCATACATTGTCACTAACTAAATACAGTCAATCCATTTTTACACAATGTGTATGAATATATATGATTAAGTTTCTTGCCTATTTCTTCACTGTCAAAGTAGGCAAGAAAATTAATCACACCCATTCATACACTGATAGGAATCAGCCTAATCAGCATTTAATAAGGGTAGAAGAGGAGAAGTAAGGGGTCTGGGGGGTCAATTAGCTAATTAGTTGTCTGTTTGGTCCCTGCGTGGATTTTTTCTATGTTCTATGGGGCAGGCTGCTTTTCTGACTCTCAGGAAGCTGGGGTAGCCAAATAGGGCAGGCTGTTATAGTGTTATTTGGTTTTGTTTTGGCTAGGAGGTTGGGCCCTCGAATAGTCCCCTGGTTTGTATTCTCTCTGGAGAGTTTTTCTTCAATAAACATCTCTTCGATCCATTTTACTCCTTTTCTACTTGAATTTCTGTTACTTTTCTCTGAAATACTACCAAGCCTATCAATGGTATCAGAGCATAGAATGGATCTGTTGGAGAGTAGGATGGATTTGCTGGAGCGGGCGCAGGCATTGATGAAGCAGAAGTTAACAAACATGGAAACGATGGCGGAAAACCTCGCCAGAAAGTTTGCTGCAATGGAAGAAGAATTCCAGAATAGAAGAAGATCGCGGTCACAACATCATCATCATTCGCGATCATCGTTTTGTCCGGCTTCTAACAGTTCGCAGGCTTCATCATCGGCTTCCAGTTCTAAACCTGCCTCGCGAACTGTTTATCCTCATCGAGCTTCATCGCAAGTCTGTTCTCCCAGTTCTCAAATTGTATTGCAAGAAAAAGGCACCAGGTCACAATCGCGAACACTTTTGCCGAGTTCGCAGACATCGTCACATGCGCAGCAGCGAAGTGTCTAACAGTCCGCAGGTCTCACCGCAGCGGTCGCAAATAGCCACTATCAGTTCGCAGACAACATTCAACCGAAATGAGTTATCTCTACGCAATCTCAAGGACACTTATGGGGGATCGTCTGAGTCAACGCCTCAGTCTGCTGGTGCTTCTGGTGGTTTTAGCAAAACTGGAGAAAATGAAGAGTGTGTGGTGGCTGAAGTTCCGCAGGATCCTACACAAGTTATTGGCTCTCGGAAAGGGAGAGGAAAGTACATAGATGAAGACAAGAGAGGATTGAAGGATAAAGGAGATAGGAACACAGAAGTGAAGCTGGTTGCAGCATCAGTTACAGAATCAGACCCTGAAGAGGATGTTAATCAACCTACTGGATTTTCATCAGACAATACAGAAGGTTTCGATGTGCGTAAATCGTATATCCTTACCTATGATGACATGAGGTATTCTAGTGCACTGGACTTAAACCCAGAGAATCTTAAATCTTTGATTTATATAGCTCATGGACTTGGATTGGAGGTTTTAATGGACATGAAGTACAACCATTCATCACATATTACTGGGAAAACGCTGAACAATTTCGATAGCTTCAGAATTGATGGCTTTACTTCGATGATGTATAATCAACATAGCTTGAGGAGAGGGATTACTAGGAATTTTAAGGAGTATGTTGGAAATGTTACTGAAGTTGAGGCTGACGTGAATCTGATGCTTGTCATAGATCTCAATCTTAGCCTCTTCCCATATGCCATTACCTCTGGAGAAGAGGTTAGGGGGCTGCATGCGGTTTGTCTATCTGTTCAAGAGGGAACTGTAGTTTTTAACCACCCATCACAGACCACTATTACTGGAAAAGAGATCCAGGTACTCCATAAAAGAGATATGGAGGGGAAAAGGGATGACAGTGCTCACAAACTTGCTAATAGCAAATGGAGAGAGAATAGCGTTGCTTATGCCGAAAGTCAGGATAAGGCTATGGCGGTTGACAGCGTTGTAATATTCCTGGGGGCCTTGGAAAAGTCAGGAGTGCAGGATGATCCACAGAATATTGCAATTGAAGACTCAGTGTTCACTCAATCTGATGTCAAGCTGGGAATGATAGTAAGGGTAAAGCTGGGGAAGAATATCTTCAAACTTGGGTTTAAAATTTACCAACTTCGGGTTCTTGATGTTGAACATTGCAAATTGGTACTTTCTGCCAAGTACGCACTAATCAGCATGTCTCAGTATTTTCCCTTGGATTTTAGTCAAGCCTTAACTGCTACTTTGGGAGAAAAGGCTGGAAAATATGTGGAACTGGATCCTACCTTTCAGGCGGGTGTGATTGATGTCTCCCAGATAGGGTACCTAGTGAATCCATTTTTTAAACTAAAAATTATTAAGGGAATCTGTACCCGTAGCTCTCTTCATTGGCAATCCAAACAGGAGGTTGGGAATGTTTTCATCACTTGTTTTATGGAAATCTTCGTGAGTGACAAAGTGGGGGAGCATGACCCAAAAGTGTCATTACTTCTGCTCATTCATGCGAGGGTGGAGGTAAAGAGAATGGCTCAAGTGTTAAAGCTAAAGATCCAGAATGCAATGTTGTACTGGGAAGGGAGAGGTGCGCGGATGAAGATAAAATCTTTAGTCAAGGCTGACTCCTATCACCCACCTTGAGGACAAGGTGGTTGTTTAGGGGGGGAGTATTGATAGGAATCAGCCTAATCAGCATTTAATAAGGGTAGAAGAGGAGAAATAAGGGGTCTGGGGGTCAATTAGCTAATTAGTTGTCTGTTTGGTCCCTGCGTGGATTTTTTCTATAAATAGAAGCTGGGGTAGCCAAATAGGGCAGGCTGTTATTTGATTTTGTTTTGGCTAGGAGGTTGGGCCCTCGAATAGTCCCCTGGTTTGTATTCTCTCTGGAGAGTTTTTCTTCAATAAACATCTCTTCGATCCATTTTACTCCTTTTCTACTTGAATTTCTGTTACTTTTCTCTGAAATACTACCAAGCCTATCATACACATTGTCTAAATATCAGCCTAGTCGTCCCATTAATCAGCGCCTAGGTGCTAGGCGGCACTAAGTAGCGCCAAACGAGTTTTACAACGTAAAACAAAATATAAAAACAGAAATAAAACTAAAACTCCAAAACATACTTTCAAAAGCTTAAATGACATAAAACTAACATAAAAGTATAAAACATAGAAGCACAACCCCTTGGTGATTGCAGGGTGGTCGTGGATTGGGCACTGGTAGGTCATTGGGTGGTCGTCGGGTGGGCTCTCAGTGGTTGTAGATCACTGGTTGCACAGCTCTCTTACAGAGTTACTACCGTTATACTTCTTGTTGCCGATCAGAGTTGCGTGTTAGTCTAAGTCAATTGGGGTTTATAATTAGTTTTCCGGCTTAAGTTAATTTGGGCCTCTCTGTTTGCGCCGATTACTTACTTCTTGTTGATTAGCTAAAAATATGATATTTCCCAATGTTGATCAAACTTTGAGATCCAATTCTAAAAGCTAATCTCTTATAATATGAACAGTATCTTAAACCATTCCTTTTTAGCTTAAAATACCATCTTTTCAAGAAGTTCTTCTAAAATTAGAGATTCAGTCCTACAAAGGCAATGTGATAGAATATGAAATCTAACTGTACACAATTAATATTTAGCAAGAACTTTTGACATTTCAAAACGTTTGACTAAAATTTGAGATTCAGTCTAAAAATTCAAACTGATTATGAAAATTAGCTCAAAACTGAAAACAATTGCACTCTTTACATTCTAGAATATGCCAGTTTACAGTTCGGGAGCAATGCAAATTGAACTAAGTCTAAGTCAATATGGGGTTTACAAATTAGTTTTTTGGCCTAAGTTAATTTGGGCCTCTTTATTTGGGCCCTAATTACTTGTTGATTCAGTCACGTTCCTCAATGAAAATACTTACTATGCAGTATGAGCCATATATCGTATCATAGACAAATGTTGTACAGACCCCCCCCCCCCCCCCGAAATAAATTGCATCAATGAAATTATAGCATGTTATTACAACTTACATCAAAACTATAATTGATGGCGTATTTAGAGTATCGGCATAAACACGATAGTGCCCCTGCATTGGTACAACAAATATAAAAATGTTAGAACTTCATATCAGTTTCTTTTCCTCATCTCTTTTCAGAAGCAGAAGACTCTTACGTAACACCATAAATTGTTAATATAAGAGCTTGTCAGCTTGCATAATGGTTTGCAATTTTACAAGTGGTTTAAGCCCTCAATAAAGGTGAATGTCTAAAGAATTGAAAAAATCTCCAATGTAGGAAAAAAATAGAAATGAAATCATTTCGGAACAGCCAACGGGTCAAAGCTAATACCTTGAGGCAAAACTCGCCTGTGAAGCTATAAGCAAAAAAGCTTAATTAGGAGTTAAAAATCAGCATTCCGATCAATACATTCCATGTGATTTACTGTAAAAACCCACGGTATAATCTAGTGCTTACTCTTGTTTTACCCAAATTTATATGCAGATAGTGTCTGACACACAAAAAGGGTTTATGCATATTAAAGTAAAATAAAAATGGGACAACTACTTTCTCAAACCACATGAAATTGAAGTGTTTGAAAGTACCTATTAGAGAGGATAGGAATAAAGGGTGTTATTCTTTTAAAATTAAATAATTGATCTAAAAGGGTAAATGTTGGTGACTGTGTGAGAATTTAGTCAATCTGCTTGTGCAGAATATCTATATGCATGTACCCAAACCTCAACTCAAACAAAGCAGACTTTTTGGACGTAAACAGTCTACGCCCTCTAGTGGCAAGCATAGACAGCTCAGCTACTGGTGAGTGCTAGAATCTATGGATAGAAAGATGGGGAAGCTCATATGCGGGAGGGACTAAGAGAGGAAGAAGACTAGGGTAGGGTGTCTCACTGAAGCTTAGGTTTAAAAATAAGCCACTCTAAAAAGGCCTACGCTCCATATAACCTTTTCACCTTTAAGACTTCTTCTCTGAATTTCAGCTACACATATGCATAGGCCTAGTTTCTGGCAACTGATGCTTAGGCACCTTAGATGTTGATAGGAATCAGCCTAGTCAGTATTTTATTAAGGGGCAGAATAAGAGAAATAAGGTGTCTAAGGGGTCAAATAGCTAATTAGTTGTTTGTTTGGTCCCTGCGTGGACTGTTACTATAAATAGAAGTGGAGGGTAGCTAAAGAAGGCAGGCAATTACTGAATTGGCATTTAGGCTTTAGAGAGTGGGCTTCTCGAACAGTCCCAAGGCTTGTATACGTACTCCTACTACTTCTCATTCAATAAACACTCTTTCCCCATTCTCCTGCATAATTTCTCTGGATCTATCACTGTGTTTGCTTGATTATTACCAGTGATCCTATGAGATGTAGGCTTAGTACCTCTTTAAAAAAGTGCTATGTCAATCAATAGCTGAGCGCAAACCATTTCTCTCAAGGGAAAAATAGAGGGAACTGAAAGGGAGAACACAATATGTGTCAATAGACTATTTACCTTCGAATCCTTCATTATATCCAACTATCTTCTTTAATACATTAATTTCACAAAGATCGTGGAATAGTGAATCCACAGGTCCATGAAATGCAACCTGATAAAACAAATAATAGTAATAAAATAGTGATACATGTAGAGAGTTATTGATATTAAACCGCATTTGCATTATTATTCACAATAATCAAACATCTATAGAACAAAACATAAAGTTTTGCTTTTTCTATTACAAAATCAAGCAAGAAAAAATGTTCATGGAAGCTAGATGAATTATGACCATAGTTTAAAAAGGCGCTTAAGAGGCAGGTTTTGAGGCGCGCCTCAAGCTGAGGCGTACTGGTTAGGTATCAGGGCTTAGGTTTTTTTTGCAAGTTAAGAGGTTTATGCCTCATAGGTTGAGGCGCACCCTGAGGCCCAAGTATTTCATTTTATAAAAGGCCCAAGTGTTTCATTTAATACAAAGGTAAGTACTTTTTAAATAGAAGTCCATGTACCAAACTCTAACAAGTCTTATTTCATTTAAATCCTAATAAGTCTTATTCATTTAAACCCTTACGTCCCTAACGTATACTCCCTCCGTCCCCCTAAGTTTGGGATGGAGGGGTGTGGTGTGGTTTTTAAGAAAAAGTGGAATTGTGTGGTTGGTATTGAATTGATAAAGTGTAAATAAAGTAAGAATGAATTCTAACCACTCAAATGTTACCAAATATGGTATGAGACAAACTTTGTGGGACGGACGAAAAAGGTAAAACGGGACAAACTTAGGGGGAAGGAGGGAGTACTTTCTATTCACCTACGCAAAGAACTCACTCTCTCTTTCTCCTGCGACATCTTCTTACGACAGTGCAAAAGCTTCTAGGTAACTTCTCTTCTACTCCATTCCCTTCTCTTGCTCCTATTCATATTGAAATCCTATCCTTCACTGCTTCTTATCATTCTTTTACAGAACTGTTGTTCAAGTATTCTAACTGGTAAAGGTTTACTTTGCTTCCTTAGCTTCGTCGTGTTGTTTCTATTACTTCTGTGTAGATTTAGTATAATGGTGAGAGGTTCAAAGAAAAGATGTCTGAAGGCCTTGGTATTGCTACGGGAGCTAAGAGGAACAGAAGAGACCCTTCTTGGAAGCATAATGTTGAAGTAAACATTCCTGGAGAAAAGAAGAACTATAAATACCTACAGTGCAACGATTGTGAAAAACAATCACAGGAGGTATAAAGAGTATGAAAGACCATTTTGCTTGTACCAGAAAGAATGTTTCTCAAAGATAAATATTACTGGGGCAAGTATGGCCTACACTATCAAATCCACAAAATCGTTGGTAGAAGTGTTGAGTTTAGTTGATTCTGAAAAGAACCCGCAATGGCTTACCTCTATAATGATATGGATGAGGCAAGGAAAAGATAGCAAGGAATTTAGGTGGAGATGTAAAAGATTACAAGGAAATATGGGATAGTATTGATGAGAAATGGGATACTATCTGAATCCCCGTTGCTATTACGCTGATAACTTTTCAACTCAACCGGAGGTCAAGCTTGGTTTGTTTCATTGCTTGGAGAAACTCATACTTAGCAGAGAAGATCGGGCGAAAGCTGACCTTCAATGCAGCACTTTCCACAACCAAGAAGGTTTTTTGGCTTTTCTCAAGCAAAAAATACAATCTTTAAGAGAACCACTGGAACATTTTATAAACTTTCTGTTTCTGCGCATTTAAAATTAAAAAAAAACTGATTATTTCTTTTCAAAACTGTACATTATAGTCTTTTTAAGAAATATGGAGATGTCACTTGAGCTTTCTGCCTACAATATGTTTCTGCACACTTAAGCTTTATAGTTCAAGAAATGTTTTCTTCTTTTCAGTTGAAAGGTGGATTCAATACGGAGATGGCACTCCCGAGCTTCAAACTTTTGCAATAGAAGTATTACATCTTACTTGTTCATCATCCGACTGTGAGCGAAATTGGAGTACTTTCAATCAAGTACACACCAAGAGAAGAAATCACTTGACAACAATTAGGATGAACTCTTTTGTCTATATAATGTTCAACAAAAGACTTAAACATCGACACCTTAAACTGAGATCCCTAACCAATGAAAAGGAAAATCTGTAGGTTGATGACTTGCCATCTGATGATGAATGGCTGGTAGGTGAAAATGGTGTTGAACCAAACACATTTAGGGATGACCTTGATGTCGATTTTTTGGAGGTCAACCATCACAGGAAGCTCAAACAAAAGAAATTTCAAGCAAGCGGATGGGTAACCAAGGAAACAATAAGAAAAATAAACAAGTAGTGGAGGCAAATGATGATGATGATGAAGATGAAGAGTATGAGGAGGGAGAATGGGATGATTTTGATAGTGATGATGGCGATGAGGCCCTAAGATATGATGATTCTTCCGAAGAACTTTCCTGTCATGATGATTAAGCTTCATGCCTTCAAGATTTTTGAACTATGTCAATTGTGTGATGTGTCTGGTTGTCTGTGATGTTTCAGTTTGTGTGTGATGTTTCTGTGTGTTTGTGAGACTGTGATATCTCTGTTTCTGTGAGATGTTACTTTTTGTGTGTTTGAAGTCTAGTGACTCGCGAGTAATAGGTCACATCTGTTTGTGTCTCACACTTTTTGGACTTATAATTATGGATATCCTTTACCTCTTGAGTTCTTTCTTCAGTTTAACTATTTGAAGTTTTATATGTCTGTATATTTTGAGGCTTACGCCTGGGCTCTTAGGAATAAGCCGTCTTGATACCCGAACCCCAGTGCCACAAAGGCTCTCACCTACGGGGTAAGGGGTTCGGATGAATACCAATTTACTTTATTGCATCTTATTCCCACGCCAAAAAATTGTGAATCTTTGGCTGCATTGCAACACGTTCTAACTTACAAGCAGTGAATACTTTTATCCGTGCTCCATAGTCAAACACACAGATGCAAATCGAAAGCTTAAAAAGAACAGTGTTTAAGCCATACCTGAAATTTGATAGCAGTAGTCCAGTCAAAAAATGCAGACAAGAGTAAAATATGGAGCGCTGCAAATATAAATAAGTGTCCCTCTGTGATAACAATCAGTTCATCATCGTGTGGTGTTGAGGATGAAGAATCAACAACAGGTGCAGGTGTGGGTAGAGAAAATGCTGGGTAACAAGGAAAGCTGGTTTTAACAAGCAGCAATCCGAATAACAGCAGGGCAGCAGCTTGATAATGTTTCATGATCGACTTCAGGGCATGGCATGAAGCTATTCTGGGTAGGCTTTGCTCGCTCAGAGTGTGTTTTGGGTTTGTTGCAGCAACCCCACGGATAGAAAGTTGTGATCTTGAACTTTCAAGAGTGAATTTTGACGATTGGAAGAAACGTAATGGAGTAACTGGGTGGGAGAATGGTGATGAAAGCTCTCTGCATCCAAACGACCGCAGAAGATTACTCGCCCTGATCATCGAGGTTGAGGCGATTGCCATAACGCACGTATTCTCCCCAAAACTTCAGTACGTCTTCGCAATTCTGATGTAAACTTAGGGCAAATTACATGCGTTTTTATAATAGTATCTCTATCCCGGTCGCATTGGAACTCCTAATGAGACAATTTTTAAGGCAGTGTTTGTTAATCTCAGACTATAGCTAGAAATTACCTTTCCAGAAAATCTAGAAGGGTTCAAAGCTTTTGACAACTACGAATCTTGCTTTTGACTCTTACGAATCCTTCAATTCACCCAATGGAGAGGCTATTAACGTACTGCATGCGTAGCATGCATATTTATCACTTGGCCGTTCCAATCATGTAGTATGTTGATAGAATTTGTAAACTACTCCCTCCGTCCCTTAAAACTTTGTCAACTTTCCTTTTTTGGATGTCTCACTAACTTTGCCACTTTCTCTTTTAAGTTAAAAATTTGTGGTTCCTGTTAATTCTCTCTCCTCTGCACAAACCTCTACCACACAGTTTTTACTTTATTAATCCCCGTGCCGGTCAAACTTGGCAAAGTTTTAAGGGACGGAGGTAGTATTTTGTAGCGTAGCTATCCGATTGGTATTAGGCTATGTTTTGCTGACATACCTATGGCTTTTGGCTTTTGTATTATTTAAAAAGTCTCTAAAAGTTATTAGTTGATTGTTTGGCACGCTAACTTTTAAGAGCTTTTCAAAAAATAAAAGCTCTTTTTTGAGATGCTATAGGTAGTAGCATCTAAGAAAAATCTGTGACTTTTAGCTTTAATAAATCCTAACAGCTTGTATGTCAAACAGAACTAAATCAAACAGTCAGCTTTTTACCAAACAGCTACCACCTTTTACTTTTAAGATCTTTTCAGTCATTAAAAGCTAACAGTTACTAAAAAGCTCACAAAAAGATCTTTTCAGCTAATTGTACCAAACATAGCCTTAGACTATTTGCACACAAAAACTTCTAGCTTCTATATTCTTTAAAAAGACCTTAAAAGACTTTAGTTGTATGTTTGGCATGACATTTTTAAGAGTTCTTCAAAAATTAAAAGATCTTTTTTGAGATGCTGCCGGGTGTAGCATCTGAGAACAGCTCGTGACTTTTAGTATTAATTAGTCCCAACAGTTTGTATATCAAACCGAAGTACCGAACTAAATCAAACAGTCAGCTTTTTATCAAACAGCTATCACATTTTCTTTTTAAGATCTTTTCAGTCACTAAAAGCTAACAGTTACTAAAAAGCTCGCAAAAGTATCTTTTTAGCTACTTGTGTCAAACACACCCTTAGTCAGTTCAATAGCTCCACTTCCTACGTATCTGATAGACAATAGGACTCTTGTATTTTACTATGTACGGTAGTATTATTTAAACTCCACTCATGTGAATAGAATACACACGATTGATATCCAATTTGGTATAAGAGTCTATGATCAATTAACGATCTGTTTGGCCCATTTACAGGGACGGCCCTGTATGTTGGAAGGTCTAGGGGCGAAAAATTAAATGAGCCTAATGTTTCAAAAAAAATAGAACTTTTTTCTATCTAAACTGACATGCATAATAATAATAATATTTCAAGACTTCTATAAAAATTTGTAAAACTCTATTCTGTCTAAACCAATCATATTATAATATTGGTGATCCTTATTTAGAAAGGAAATAATGATGATCCTATATGTACACTATATAAATGTTTCAGTCATATTTAAGAAATTAATTCTATTATTATCACCTCCTCAAATCTCTCCTCCAATGATGTAATCATTCTGAACTAGTTTATTTTTAGTAGCTAAATTATTGTTCTTCTATGCGTTCTCATCTTGAAGGGGGCATTCAGAATTTAATTTCTTTACACAAGTAAACTTTTCCATTGAATTTTTTTGCTTGGCGCCGCTTTCTCTAATTTTCTCCTCGTTTTTATTCATCATATTCAGATTCAATCCTTTTTATTACACCTTGAAATTAATTAAATTAATAAACTTTATCATGATTGAAAATGTTTGTCTAACAAAATCTACAAGTTATAACACCAACACTCAATAGAAAACAGTCAACAATTAAGAAATCAAACAATCAACTATGAATTAAATCAGTTAATAAACTAATCACATAATCATATCAGACTAATTTGCTTCCGAGTGGAATTCTTTATGAAATTTTAAGATAACGTTTTTCATCAAGTGTAAATTATGCTCATAAAATTTTAAGATAAATTTTTTGAATAATTTATTTAACTGACTTCTAAATTAATTAAAACCATAGAAAAATAAAACATCTTAGTAATAATTAAAATAAAAACTAATTGAATTAATTCTAAGAAAAATGTATTTAATTGCACATATGACTAAGATTAGTGAACATTAGTAAATAATTTTAAGCAAAATATGTTTAATTACACAAATGACAAAGATTAGTGAAAAAATATAGTATTAGCTTACAATATTTAGTATAATTGTATAAATAATTTCAAACAACTGTAATGAAAAATACATTAGAATTTTAAAAATTACAAAATGAAGAGTGTGTGGTATATCAGAAGTTCAGAACTTGTATTAGATTAATGAAGCATGGGTCTTTTTGAAAGAAAATTAATAAGCCACCTCGAATCTAACATAACCTAAGTCTAGTGGGTTTCACATGCCCATTCATGTGATCACCTTTTCCACTTTTGGGAATGTAACATTCCCAAAAAAAAAACTGCGAACCAAACACAGGTATCTCACATTCTGGACATCAGATTATGTCCTGTATAAGATATCACCTTGAACCAAACACTGTCTTAGGCCAGGGTTTTGGCATGGTAGTCGTCTCGCTGTCATTTACAAAATTAAAGGGTATGCAACTGTTCTAAAATATAACCGCCGCACACATGCTTTATTTTTTTTTAATTTTATTCTCCCCGTTCTAGTAGATTTTCCCAACTTTCCTTTCTTGTTTGTCACAAAAACCTTGCCACTATCTTTTAAAGCAATGAATTTGTGGTCATGTTCATTTTTTTACTCTAAACAAACTGTAATCAGTAATCACATAATTTTTACTATTCTAATGTTTTACCAAACATCAAATTGGCAAAGTTGAGTGGAGCGGAGGTAATAAATGAATCTGCGGCGGTTCTTAGACTCAACTGCCGCGCGTGTGTACTATTTTCAGACATTTTTATTTTTGTTTTGGTTGACATGGTTATTTAGATAGAACCACCGCCTTTATTATAAAAAAAAAAGTTAAAATTAAAATAAAGGCGACCGTTTTGTTGTAACAACCGCCACGAGTGGATTGAGTTAACCTTTTTTGATAGATATGGCGTTATTTTCAAAACCGTCGCTTGTGTTGTCCCGTAGATGGTTGTTTTTCCATTAGTGATTTAATAGAGTGATATATTTCCGATTAGTGAATTGTTAGATTCATGGGAACGTATCTCACAAAATTGGTGTGTTTTGATATTTTTAAATAAAAATAAAATAGACGATAAAAAAAAATACTACCTTCGTCCCATTTAATTATATTGGGACGGAAGAGGATGACACGATTATTAAGAAAAGTGGGTTTGTATGGTTTATATTAATTGATAAAGTAAGAATAAAGTAGGGAAAAGGGGCAAATAAGATCTCAAACTAACCAAAAAAGTGCAGATAAGCCCTTATATCGGAAGTTCTGTCTGGACGTCGCCATTTGGGGAGGTTTCCGGTGGAATTTTTTAATGAAAATTTTTGAGCATCTTATTGATTAATTCTAGTTTAGCCATACCAAATTTCAGCTAAAAATTCATCCGGAAAAGATGTCAAATAATTTTCTGAAATATACTGCGTTGTTATTTTCTAAAATTCATTTCACTGTCTTCCCGATTGAATTTTTAGCTGAAATTTGGTATGACTAAACTAGCCTTAATGAAAAAGATGCTCCCAAGATTTCATAAAAAAAAAATCACCGAGAACCTCCCCAAATGACGACGGCCGGACAGAGTCTCCTATTTAAGGGCTTATTTGCACTTTTTTTGTTAGTTCGAGGGCTTATTTGCCCCTTTTCCCAATAAAGTAAGGATGATATAGAGCCACACAAACTTTGCCAAATATTGTATGGAACAATTTAAGTGAGACTTCCTGAAAAGGTAAAACGGGACAATATAAATGGGACGGAGGGGTAGAAGATTAGAGAATACCCTATATCATATCTAGACGTCCCCAAGTTGTTGTGATTTGTGAAAGCATAGGCCTATAGATCTGCTTATCAATTTAAATCCCACATCAAATGCGTTTGAGCTAATCAATACTTTCATAATTTACTTCACAAACTTTATCTCGTGTGGTGTGTTAGAGCATCTACAATGGTTAGCTAATCATGTTATGGCTTTGCTTGCCACATCATTTTTTTTCTAGCTAATCCATGGGGTAGTCCAATAGTTAGTCACATTACTTGCATCTTGAATAGGTCCCACAAATCAATCAATTTTGAAAATATATATTTTTGAATGGATTGATTTATTAATATAATATTTTATAAAATATTTTCAAATCGATTATGTTGACAAGTAAACGTAACCAAACTTCTGGCAGATGGATTAGTTCAATAAGATGTATTTCGTTAAGTAAAAAAAATAAGGAATATCAAATTTTAACAAGACATGTATACTAAAAAATATCAAGTTTTAATTTGCTTAAATATTCATGAGTAATACTTGTTGTATGAATTTTTATAGCCCTCTATTTGAAGACCTTATGTATGAAAAATAAGAGTAGTGACTATAGAGATGGAGTACAAGAAAATATTGCAGAACTCAATTTTCAAACCATTCTCTATATATAATAACGACATCAGATCAAAATTACTTTTTATTAATTTAATATATCAATTACAAATAAATTAAATATAATTGGTAATTACCATTTTAATTTAAGTTTCTCTCCTTCCTAGCAATTAGCTTGTTTTGGCTAATTTGCTTGTCCAAGCTAGAAAGATATATGCACTCTAATGGTAGGCTAGTAGCTTGAAAATTGCTAGCAAGTCCCTATAAGCAACCATTGGAGATGCTCTTAGACTGCTTGGTATTATATAGAGGCTACTTCCTTCACTAGAACCGATAATTATAAAGTGATTTAGATATAAATTTCTTTATAATTATGGTTCTAGTGGAGGAAGTAACCGCTATATAAAACTTTTAAGTTTGCAGTTTTTTTTCAATTATTATTAGTAGTAGTAACAACAACAATAATTTTAATGTTTCTGATCTGGTCTAAATCTTTTTAAATTTGATTTAATATGATCTTAATTATTTTTATTTGATCTGATGTGAATAAAATAAGAATAAAAAATACTTCCTAAATAATAAGAATGAAAAAAAAAACATGACAACTTATAAGTGTGTGTTCGAGGAATAGCGTAAAAAATTTGTTTTTGATAATTTTTTACCTCATTGTGGAGATTGAAGTAGTTATTTTTGAACCATCTCATGAGATGATATAAGTATGAATAAGAGAATAAAGTGGTAAGATATGTGTCGTAGTCCACAAGGAACAATTTTTTTTGATAAACTGTGAATATATATATATATATATATATATATATATATATATATATATATATATATATATATTCACATATGTATACATTTGTGTGTGTGTGTGTATATATATATACACACACAAATGTTCAGGTCAGGAGTTCCTGACCGGAACCGCGTCCGGACCGCGGCGTTTGGCCGCCTTCCCGGTGGCTTTTTTTGATGAAATTTTTATGACATGTTCTCCATCAAGTCTAGTTTATCCACAAAAAAATTCAGCCAAAAACTCAATCGGGAATGTCGTCAAATGATTTTTGCAAGTTAACTGGTCCGGAAAATACATATTCCGGACAAATAATTCATACCCCTTAATTGAATTGGAATAAATTTGATTGACATAGCTTTTAATCAAGTGAATATGTATATAATGTAACTGCAATTTCTCTTTAATAAATTACTTTAAAGATATATTATATCCATTATGATATATTATGAGAAATCTCATTAATTAGTCATATTATGAGAAATCTCATTAATTAGTCATATTATGAGAAATCCTCTGTTTTGGTAATATTATTACCGTAATAATCCCTATTAAAAAAGAAACACCCTAGTGGGATTTGGGATTTGCAACAAGAGTATAATCCGACTTTTTAATTTTTTTCTCTCTCGTCGGATTACCCAGTTCCAACTGGAGGTTTTTTACAAATTAAATCAAACCTTAGCTCCAGTCGGATTTCCCACTTCCGACTACCCTACTATTGCTGTGGTGAGTGCACTATCTATGCACATCCAAGAACTACTCCGTATGTGATATTGTTGCCGGGGGAGGGGGGATAATAAAAAAACACCCAACCACTTGAAGTATTATCAAGTAGTGATACCATTGATCTATGCCTTGGAAGGGAATACTCACAAATCAGCACTGTCTCGTCTAATACTAATTTGTAAACATGCATCAAGCCAAACACTAAAATGGGAAGAAGAGGAAGATCAGCATACATCACATGCATGTAGGGGAGACTATTACTATCTCCCCATGTATCTGTAATAATTTTTAAGAAGAGCGAATTCGACCAAGTTGAGCAAGTTATTCGGCTCAATGTCTGATGGTGGCATTAGGTGCTGCATAGGGCGGAAGGGCTAATGGCTTGGGTGGTTTGCATTGGTAGCATTTGGCGAAAAGCCCAAATGTGTCCACTTGTTTCACGAAGTTTGTCATGCTGGCCCATCCTCCAAACCCGAACCCTACTACAATGACCCAGACCACTATGAAGATGTTCACAGCATACATGGCAGTCCAGCTAGGCAAGAAGAACGGAGGCTTCTCTGCAGCATTCTGTATTTTCAAATGCAAGTCACACTAGAATTAATGGCTGGCACTATATTCAGCAAAATAAACACAAGATGAGACATCCTACAAGTTTTAGTGGTTCACATGTTATTCTGTTATGGGGTATGAACCACTAAGATTGTCAAGCCTGGCTAACCAGGTTTGTCTTGGACTTTCTGATGACCTTGTGCTAATTTTAAAAATTAGACCTTATGAAGTAAACAATATGCACAATTATAATAAAGAAGTATGTTTTAGATTGTTGCGGAGATATTTTTCTTACAATCGAGAGTAGTATAGAAGAATTTAGTATTATTATTATTACCTTGCGAGCTGAGGCTTTGCGATACGTGAGCATATGAGCAAGGGAAGGCACTATATAGACAGTGAAGCTAACAAGAAGTGCCCCAACAGCCGAGTTTATCGGGCCAAAGAAAGGGAAGATTATGGCCAAGAACCATATCGGTATCACCACTGGCAGCCTCGCAAGTGCCCTCAGGCAAATGCTCTTTGTGTCGTGCATCCCTATCACTTTTTCCCACACAAAGTATAATGGCATCGAGGCGAATCCAAATGTGATGAACTGTGATGTTTTTAAACAAATAGTAAATGCTGCTTTGGTTAGTAGTATTAGATAAATTACTTCAGATAAAAGTAAACACATGCAACTGAGTATTCTTGTTTTGTGGTAAATAGGATTAGTTCAGTTATATAAAAAGGCAGTTAATAGTTCTTATTCTAGGTGTTAGTGAGTCCTACTCTTCTACTTTCCGAACAACATATGTTATGTTTTAGTCCAATTTCTAGAGTTTTCCTTAAGTAATGATTGGGAAAAAATGATGTTGTCATGTAAAAATAATGACCTGGTGAATAAGCATCAAGATGACAGCAGCATCGCGCCACCTGGACTTGGGGAGGAGGGAGAAGGCATTTGAGTGATCTAGAAGTTCATCCCCGAATGCCCAATACACAGAGGTGGCAGAAGGAATGGTGAGAGTGAATACATATAGAGTGGCAAACAAGTAAATGTACTTGAACTTCTGTGGCTTCCACATTGCATGCATAATTTCCCTGTAATTTTAGTCATAAGTATACATACATGATAATCAATGTTATGGTCTTCTGTTACTTGTTTGTCTCAATGTAATCAAATAATGCGTAGAATCTAGAAGCAAACTACTTGAGCAGGAATTATGAAATAAAAAATAACGTGGCAGGATCATATGAAGAAATGTTACTCCAGATTAATAAAGATGAACCCTAGCAAATAATTTAAAAACTAATGTAATTTTATCTAAATGAGATTTACCTGAAGCAGCACAAGATACATAAGCAGTATTATGAATTGATGTATTAAAAGATGATGGGATTGATGGCCTAAAGGAAAAGGATCAATAAAGACTTACACAGTGACAGCATGCCCCCCAAAAGTGTATAGAATATTTGTGGCACCTGTGAAATACAGAACTGCTTTTGTTGGTGCAGTGTGCTGTACCCCTTCAATCTGATAGTAGAAAACAATAATTCATACCCCTTAATTGAATTGGAATAAATTTGATTGACATAGCTTTTAATCAAGTGAATATGTATATATTGTAACTGCAATTTCTCTTTAATAAATTACTTTAAAGATATATTATATCCACTTTTTTAAATCATTCTATCATTACCTTTAACGTACTACAATAAAAAAAATTAGACCTTGTTATACTCAACAAAGTCCAAATTAACAAAATAGTTATTAGTGAGATAAAAGCAAACACAAGAAATATGATGTATGATTTACCTGACCATGAGTTAGAGCTGCTACAGTAAGATACCAGGCAGTATAAGTGGTCATCCCAAGGCCAAGAAAAGACCAAATCCTAAAGTTGTGGAATGAAGGAATAAAGACAGTGGTTGCACAGCAGGCTCCAAATATGTATGTCCAGGTCCTCTTGTCCAACCCATCATTGATGTAATATATGTTGCTGTTTGTATCATATTCACAATATTAACAAACCAACCTTTGTTTTTTCCTTAAAAAATTACACTTTCACTCTTTCAGATTATTTTTGTGATTTCCATACCTTGCACAAGCTATGAGTTGTATCACGGATCCAAAGAGAAGGAAAGTGCAGTTAAAGGCCAGCCCAACTGCTTTCCAGTATGGGCCCAAAAGCCCATCAAGCACTTCAAACCACTGCATGCATATATCAAAGCTAGTTTCAGACTTTCAGTCAAACACATGTAAATCTTTTTATGACTTATAAGAATAAACAAATAGAATCAGAGTTGGATGGTATATACTTCTTCTCTTTCTAAAAAGGTTTCCTAACCCCTCCAAATTCAGTTTAATTAAAAACAACCTCACTTTTCAGTTATGCCAATAAAAGTTAGCCTTTTTTATACTACGTACATCGGAAAGGAAATCAAAGTTAGCCTTTTAGCGACAGATAAAGTGCATATTCCCTTCTAAACTGGTTACTTTGAAGTTTATTATACATTTGTCTAAAATGATTTCTAATACCAACTTAAAAACATATTCCATATTTCTTTAAGAATACTTAACTAAAATATACTCCGTTAATATACTCCTTATTAGAAACACTGATCAAGATTGAAGATTTTTCATAGGAAAAATATCAAATTTTACCTGAATGACATGGTTTTTGAAGCTAACACCTTCTTTCTCTTTCCTGCTTCTGTACTCCACATAGAGGACACTGATAAGATAAGCTGTCCAGCTGCCAATCAGACCATAGAAGACTTGGAACAATATTCCTGATAGCATCCCCAGTTGTGAAAAGGAGTATGGCAGTGTCAACAGTACTTGAGCTACCTGTTTGTTTTCACCATATGGTTTTTAGCTCTCTTCCAATTTGAGCTCTTTCTAGTCTTTCTACAGAAATGAAAAAAATGGTTTAAGAAAATAGGAGGTGTTACCTGATTGGAAGAACAACTAAACCAAGCATCCCAAGCAGAGCCCCCATGCCAGAGAAAGCTTTTCAGACCGGACATTGGCTGGTCCTCTTCCTCATCGCCGGCGCCTGCTTCTTTGTATCCACCCACGTTGTCATGTTCCACTTCGCCGGAGACCATTGCTTCCTCCGCTTGCTTCAGAGACGACATTCTTTTCGATTCTGTACGCTAATACCAGATTTTCTGAAAACACCCACGAAAGAAAATAACTCCTCAATTCCCCACCAGATCCTGAAAAAGCCCCTTCTTTAAAAAGATCCAAACTTTATTCCATTTTCACAAGAACGCACCTTTCTTGCCGCAAGAACAGTCTCAGGAGTGATGCCACTTCAACTATCAACTAATCAACTAAGTGAACAGACCCTTTCTTTGTTTCAATTCGGGCCGGAAGAAGGGGAGAAATTCACGAGTTCTCAGCATGGAATGGAGGGGTATAAGAAGTGGTTCAAAGGTGTTTAATTTCCGAGGGTTGACAGACAAAGAGAGCTACAAAGAATTAATGACAGCCCAGAATCTATGTCAGAAGATGGGTGACCCGGCCGCCCTGCGTACCCAAACCGAGAGCTCCACTTTAAATGCAGAGATTTGATTAGACAGTACGCATAAAATGCGGAGCGGCGGGGAGCTGGAAAAGGCGGCGAGAGATAAAGACGGGGGCTCAAAAAGCTGCAAATGCGGCAGGGAAGGGAATGAATAAGAGGAAGAAAAAAAGAGGAGCTTTGAGCGTTCTTTGAGGACAGGAATTGGGAGATGAAATGATGCTGGGAAATGGGTGTGGCTTTACCGGCGTGGTGTATTTATTGATGGGGAAAGATCGGAGTGGGGGTTTCCTTTTTGGTTTGGGTATGGATAGCTCTTTCTCTCTGCACTGTAATCCACTTGCGATTTTCTTCTTTGGGTTTCCCTGTGGAGGGACAGAGATGAGTGAATGCACAATACAACAATTTCTGAGAGCGACCTGGGTTAGTTCTTATCAGTGAAATGAGAACGAATGATTTCCGGCTGGGGCTTCACTGGTGGGTTGGTTGCCAACGACAAAAACCCAAATAATTAAAAAACTGTTTCACATTATTTCCGTGTCCTTTTCTGGCCTGATCTACTCCGTATTAATTTGCATGCCGTATTTGGCACTGTTCTACTCCGAATTATACGCCCTCCCTAATTATTTGTCCTAATTAGGGTTTAAACGAGTTCAATGACAATTGTGCGGTATTATGAAGGGGGTGTATTCAATTTGGATTGTTGTGGACTTTTTTTAATCCATGGACTTTTAAAAAAGTCAATGAACTTTTAAATCCATAGACTTTTTTATGATTGAATTTTACGGACTTTTAAATCCATGGATAAGTTTATTGACTTTCAAAAAATCCATAGACTTTTAAATGCGGACCGCCACTGCTGTTCGTCAAAATTTTCACCTAGATTGTCGCTACCGATATGCCTGTGACCTGTCCACATCCATCACCGGAGTTCCCCGCTGTCGTCATCGGACTGACGCGTCACCAACAAAATGGCTTTGGTTCTGAAAGGGAACTAGGGACAATTAATTATATTAATTAATTAATTAAATTAGGGGTGAATATGTAATATTTATTCCCATTTAAGAAAAACCAAACACTTAATCATACTTTAAGAATAATGCTATGTTTTAGTCCTACCGTGAGTGATTTCCTCTATATATTACGGAGTACGATAAGAAATAAATAAGTAAGTAAGTAAATAAATAAATAAATAAATAAATAAATAAATAAATAAATAAATAAATAAATAAATAAATAAATAAATAAATAAATAAATAAATAAATAAATAAATAAATAAATAAATAAATCAATAAATAAATAAATAAATAAATAAATAAATAAATAAATAAATAAATAAATAAATAAATAAATAAACAAATAAATAAATAAATAAATAAATAAATAAATAAATAAATAAATAAATTTATAAATAAATGAAAAAATGTAATTCAAATAGCAAGACAAAGTTCTACAAAAATAAATGAAGCATAAGAATTCAAATTCATTTTTATTAAAAAAAACTCAAAGTTTCAAAAATGCTCGAGAATTTTGGCCATTTTATTAATGATTAAGAACATTAATCGTTACACAAGCGTTACACTCATTGCTACATGTGGTACAAGCATAAATGCAATCGAGCTTTTCTACTTAGTGATTGTTTTCTTTTAACTTCTATCTTGTAAAAACTTGTATATGTATTTATGGTTATATATTTATTAATTTGAAATTATATTTATATATGTTAAGCGATTTAACGATGAAAGAAAGTGGTGGTTAAAATATTTATTTTCTTAATGGTTAACTGATCACGTATCAGAATTGCATTGATGTAATACTATCGATTCTTATATCGGTTCTTCTATAAACTTCTAGAATCGAATGAATATAGGATTACTGAATTGAGGGGGTGGACCGGGACGGCAAGCTAAAGAAGAAGAAGAATGGAAGGAGAGGGGTGGGCGAGCTGGGTTGAAGAAGAAAAAGAAGAAAGATTGAAGAGAATGGTGTGGCTTGGCTAAAGAAGAGTAGAGTTGGGGGAGGGGGGGAGTAGGCTTGGCTCGAGGCCGGTCTGACTGGCCCGGGACCCGGCCCGGCCCGCCACTGTGCGGGTCCGACCCGGCCCGTTGGATCGGTACCGGTACCGGGCCTAGGCCCGACCCGGGGGGATTAATTGGGGCGGTTCCGGAACTGCATATTTGAGGACCAGCCCGGCCGGTCCGGGCCTTATTTGTTTTTTTTTTTGGGTGGGGGTGGGGGGGTTGGGCCTATGGTAGGTAGGCTGGGTGTTTTGGAGGGGTTTGGGGGGTGAGGGTTGGAATATAAAAGAAAATCGAAAAAAATGAACCAGCCCGGCCCAACCCGGAACTGGCCCGGCCCAACCCGGAACTGGCCCGGCCCGATACCGGTAGACTCCCGGGCTGGTCCCGGGCCTTACCCAAAAAATTCCAAGCCCGGCCGGGCCCGACTCGGAACAAAAACCGGGTCTGGCCCGGTCCATCCCTAGGAGGGAGGGGAGGAATGGGGTGGGACGGGATGAAGAACCGATATAAGAAAAGTCCACGGAAATCTTTGGTGAGGAGAAGAGACAATTGTAGAGAATTTTTGCACTAAAAATGAGTTAAAAGTCCACGAGAATCCATGATTTTAGAAGTCAATAAGAATGAACGGAAATTTGAATACGCCTAGACTTTTATAGACTTTTAAAAGTCCGAATTGAATACACCTAGACTTTTGTGGACTTTTAAAAGTCCACATTGAATACACCTAAACTTTTAAAATCCATGTACTTTTAAAATTTTGCCACTAAATCCTAATACAATACACCCCCCGAAATTTTGAGTTGTAATTGAGAAAGTTTCTTAAATTGAATTAAAACATTGACAAAATGTATAAGTAAATAATCATTAATATGCTTTCAATGTTCCAAAAGGTTGGATTCTCACTCCAAAAAGAGTGATAGGACCTCGGGGAGCTTGTAAGAATGTTTTAACGTGAACTGAATTTTTTTTATTTGATCTGGAAGCGTATATAGTACAATCGAATGTACGGTGAGAATCGTACAACCGGTGGCATTTGATCTGGAAGCATATATAGTAGCAACAACAAGAGTGGAGGAGAGGACGCAGGAGCAACCGCCGTGGAGGACAAGAGTGGAGAGCCAAAGCGTAGGCGGACTTGGGAAGTGACAGGCGAAGCAAGGGCTGAGGGGGAGACTATGGCTCTGGACCCAAAAAACGGGGAGGAGGCGGTTTCCGGAGCCCGCCAGATATTTTGAAGACGGATTCAGCTGGGAGCGGGTGCTGGAGCTTGTTTCTTTGCTGCAAGACATTTTATAATTTACACGTGTTTTTTATTTTTGAATTTTCTTTCTGCTCTCAATTTGTTTTCCTTTCAATTACTATTGTTTTGTTCTTCCAGACTATTACACTTGGTGGGGGTGATGAGGTTTTCACTTTGGCCATGTTTGGCTCATGTAGACCCATGATAGGATCATCGAATCACATTGCTTTTTCTAAGGTGATTGATTCCCCAGCTAGTTCGAGGGTTGGTGGTCAGAAGTGCTCACTTTGTCAGATTTGTCCCGTGCTGAGTGTTTTATTATTAATATAAGCCTCCCAGTTACAAAAAAAATAGGTTTAGTGACGGAGTATGGTTGCAACTGATATTTTCACTCGGTATGATCTTCAGAAATTTTTAAACTTATATATATATATATATATATATATATAATATTGATGTCATATGAAAGACAGTAAAAAAATTATGAAATTTGATATTATTTTCAAAAAAGTTGGAATAAAAATTTAAAACACGAAAAAGGGTTTTTTTTTTATCTTAGTTCTCCCACCTTAATTTTCTCTCCTGGGCAATGATGGTTTGGGCGCTCCATATTTGCCAACGAAAGTCCGTTTGGCCTGTTTCTGTTAACGGTTTGTTTGCAATCACTTAACAAAAGTGATTTTGGCTTTTTTTAAGGAAAAAAAATACTTATTCTATCAAACACTGCCAACTTTTATTATCTCGGCTTCCGTGTAGAATCTACATTTTACTTTTTCTATTACACAAAAACACTTATTTTACCAAACTTTTACTATTAATCACTTTTTCCCAAAAAGTGCTTTTATTTAAGCACAAGTGGTTGCAAACAAAGCCTAAATCAGCAGCATATTGGTAAAATTTTTTAACCCCACCTTACTTTTCTAATTAATTATTTTTTTAGCATTAGTTTAGAAAAAAAAAAACTCCTTTATTTGAGTGTGATTTAAACTCCATTCTGTTCCAAAAAATGTAAAATGTGATAATTAGTCCAAAACCGTCTAAAAGAGAGTAAGATCAGAAGAATAATTTTTAATATTTGTATAGTTCATAATTCTTTCCTATTCTGAAATCAATGTATATCTATTGTGAATTTTGGACAAGAATTTTGATACTATTGTGAATGTGAAGAAAACGTATAATTGCAAGATTGCTATTGAAGTTGTACAGGATATGCATGACAAAAAAAAGTTGTGTAGGATATGCAATTCTGAACCTAATGAACGCATCATCACGATTAACAAGATTATTAGTCAATAATAACAATCGACAAGAATAATATAACCAGTTTTTGAGTACTTAAAACTAAGATCATTTTTTATTTGGGCAAAGAAGTGACTTAAACTGGAAATGAAAACACTTAAAGGCCGTTTGGGAATACTGGTAATCGGCTTATCAGGCTTATCAGTCAACTTTTTCACCAAACACATATTTTTTGGCTTTCACGCGCTGAATTGCTTAATAAGCAGAAAAAGTAAGGTTGGAGTTACTTTTCTGACTGTATTGGCTGAAGTTACTGTAGATGACTAGTTTAAGTATTTTCACAAATAACTTTTTCTTTATTTTATTAATAAAATATATTTAAAAAATAATTTTTTCTTAAATCGGCAGAATCAGTCAATGCAGCCAGAACTTCAGAAATTTCAGCAAATCAGCCGATTTTCATGCTACCAAACGGGCTCTTAAACATTATGCTTAAATTGATCGACGTTCTTTTGTACTTTTCAATGTTCCAAAAGGTTGAATCTTCCCAAAAGGGTTCACGCCTCGATTCGACAAGACATTTGGGAGCTTATAAGAATGTTTAAACTTGGACAGAAATTTTACGATTCGATCTGGTTTAGTCTGGTTTGAATTGGTCTGGTAATTTCTGGTCTCTGTTTATTTTATAATTGTCCAAACATGTTATAGTCTGATCTAATTTGGGGGTAAAACGGTCCAAGTAAAAACGTTCTACACACGTCTCACGGTGACTTAGTCAACCCAATGACGATAGGCATTGTATATGTGTCATGTGTGCACCAAAAATCCAGTCCACCACACGGGACTTATAATTTCAGTCAGTCCAATGGTGGTAGACTTTGTATCTATGCGCAATAGAGGTCCAACTCAGCACACATGAATTGTAATCTCCACACGGCAGGTGTGATGCGTACTATTTAGTAGTGCATC